GGGCTATTTTACGCGAGCTTCCAAATCTCATGCTTCAAGGCTTGATGCATGTTGAGCTCTCTCGCCAAGTTGCAGTCGGGTGATCATGAACTTCAAGAGCCTTTCTTTTCCAGTCCCAACCCCCGCAAACCCTCAACTGTGAAGCCCCAGACCTCAGTCTCCAAAGCCTGGCACCTTTGCCCCCTCGACTTTTCATGGAATCCTTCAGTTCCCCCGAGCCCTTAGCTCAACCAGCTAAAGTGTCCTCGAATTAAACCATGAACCGCCTGGAGCCATAGGTACACCTTCTACACGCCGGATGCCCCCGAGTTCAAGCAGCTCTCTGAGGACCTGTTCTTTATTGCACGGGAATGGAGACGTGAGGGCAGGGATTTTGCTTCGGCCTCGAGTTTAGGAAAAGCAATGCAGCCTGGATACTGAGCCTGCAAGTGTCTCTGCTGGAGGCTGACGATGAAAAACGCCCAAGCTTAGGGTTTAGGCTGTAGTCCCAGAAGCCAGGACCCAAGAACCTGAGACCGAAATCCTGGAAGCCAGGATTTCCTGAAGACCTCCATCCCGACCCTGATGCAGAGCCTCGAGCTGCCGAGCGACCCGACGGGCCAAGATTTTGCGGTTTAGAGTCATTTAGGGTTGTCAAGTTTTATTTTCCGGAGCTCGGTTGCGGAACCCTCTGGGCGCAGCCCTGCAGCCATCGGTGAGGACGTCTCTTTGACCATATCTCGCAGCACGAGCTGCGGAGCTTCTTCAAAGGGAGCTTCATAGCTGTCGTCTCTGTTCCCTGTTCCCTTTTATATCCGATCTCTGGCGCCTTGTTTGGAGAACAACGGCCCCTAAGCCCTGACAGCGCGTAGGGGAACCTTCCAACTCCAAAAAGCAGACCAAGTCGACCGGACTCGTAAACTCGTTCATCGCGAAGCCAAACCCCGGCGAGGGAAGCTAAACTCCAGGGCCGTTGGATGGAATCCTCACATTTTGGGGATCCAAACCCCCAGCGAGATCCTGCAGGGCCCTCATAAGGCTTCTTTCGATTGGAGTGTGAGGATACGGTTGCCTGCAAGCCTTCAGGCTTGACCTGAACTCCCAAGAATGGGTCGGAAAAGCAATCACTCCTTTTCGGGTTCTAGCTTTCGGGGCTCTGTGGCCTTGATTGCAGGCCTTTAAGAGGTCCGATCATGTGCTGTTGCCCTTACATCAGAGCCGCCAAGGTGAGCCCCTTCCACTTTGGTGGACAGCGGATTTCATCAATGCGGACCCAGGTGGCTGGGTTGAGTGGTTGAAGGGGTGTTTCAAAGACCTGGTCAATGATGCGACTCCGTCAGATTCATAGAAAAGACAGCCGAGGCTTCAGATGGCAAAGGTAGGGCGTCTTGCGGCTGATTAAGCTCGATGCCCTGGACAGAGCACGAGCAATCATCCTTCGATGCTTTGGGCATCGTTCATGATTGAATCTGTTGGCACCCGGAAGGCAAGCCTGGAACGCCCTGCACCATCGACAAGTGGATCGTGGGAGAATTCAACTGCTCTTGCGTCGGCATCTCGAAGTGCCTCCCTGCCTATTGCAAGGCCCGATGGCATGGGGTGGGGGCACAGGGGCTATCACAGAAGTGGAAGGGCTGAAAGCAGCTTCAATGTGCCTGTTTTAAGTTTTAATCATTCGCCATCATACATGAACAGCATTTGGCTGTTGGCTTCGAGAGATCGCTCGATGACAAAAGTCCGGACAGCTCTCGCGCAAGAGTCCTTGTCTCTCATTACTTCAAGCCTTGTCCTTGACCGCCTACGCTAAGCATCCTTCGCGTGAAAGCTCCCAATCACTGCCTTCAGGCTGACACTCCCAATGCAAGTTTTTTTGACATCCCCGTCAAAGACCTCATGGAGGTGCAGGGTGCTTGCAACCGCCAGTGGCGTTTGGGCGGAAGTCTGCCGAGCGTTGCTCTAGGCTAGAGTCTTGCGAGCAGTGCTGTGCATGAATGTCATGGTTAGGGCGAAGTTCTGAATGCTGTGCCGACTTTGGACCAGTATGCAGCAACTACAATGATTTATTGCAGTACTGCCCTACGCCAAACCTTCGGACGACGAAGCATTGGAAGTTCTTTGCTCACGACCTCCATCTAAGTGCTAAAGCACCCCTCTGCATATGCTTCGAAAAGCAGTCGGCCTAATTCCTAAAAGGAAAGCTCATCGCCTTGAGTTGAACCCAAACAACCTGCAGAGGCCACATACCTCGGCAACATGATGGGGCAGAAGGCCCTTGAAATCCTCGACAGCCAAGGCCCGGGAGGGACTGGAAGTAGGGTTGCTCAAAGCTGATTTGCTTTGGTAGCTTCAATACAGTAGGGAATTGTGGTACCTCCAAAGTGAGCCTAAACTCACTCCCAAGTTAAATACATCTTTTCCCAGACACCTCAACACTTTCGGGCTTTGTTTCAATGACGACCCCTGGAGTTCCCAAAGCCTCAAACACACGACCACTTCAAAAAACAGATCGCAGGTGCCAAGCTCTCTCCCGGGGCGGCCAAAGTCTTGACGCGGATCAAGGTCCGTTTGACTCCTCGAAAACTGTGTTTGGGGATTAGTGGGGGTGAGGGCCTCGGCAGGAACTGTTCGGGGGGCTTGAGGATGTCGGGATTTCTGGGAGAACGCAACACATCTAAACACCTGCAACCTCGGCGCCAAATCATGTTCAAGGCGCTGCGGGGCGCGGCCAAAGCCGGCGTGCTCAGCAGTGAGGAAGCAGGCTGGAAGTGCTTTCGACAACTCAACTCCAAAGAACAATTAGTTCCGCATAGAGGAACTGTTATCATGACCATCACACTTCTTGCCAGCACATGTCACAAAAAAGGTTGATGTTATGTCACCGTCTGATTTGGGCTTTGACTCTGTTGATTTCCTTCGTTTCAGCTGAGTTGAGGTTTTCTGGTCTGCACTTGGATCCTTAATTCGATATTTATTTTCGGTTCTGCTGTGTGTGCGTTTCTGTCTCTGTCTGTTTGTCTCCGGGCGGGCGGCGGGCGGGCGAGGGGGCGGGCGCGGCGGTGCGGGGGGGGGGGGGGGGGG